AGAATATAGAGAAGTTAAAAATTAAAATACGACTTGCACCTAACCCAGATTACTATATACTGCGCGAAGTCTACTCGTTAATTGTCTTGTAAATCGTGAACCGCGTTCCATTCACAACATTCAAAATTTCATAATGTCGCGAGGAAATTTAGAGCCGTAACGATTATGCAAACTGACAATGTGTTTACTCCTCTATCACAGTTTTAGCAACTTTTACGTAAAATGTACTATATCCATTAATGACGTTGAATGCACTTAACCTCTCCAGACTTGTGGTTCATTGTAATAAGCATTACTCTCATTGCTGTAAAGAAATTCAAAGTGCTGACGTTAGCCCAAGTTTTAAATTTAAAATACACAAATAGATACCTGTTTTACCGATTGTTAACACTAGCAGCTTCATCTTGTATATTTACTCTGTAGAGATTTAAGCTTCAGCCGTAACAAAACAAAAACAAAAATGTAACGAAAATAGTGAAAGCATACTCGTATTTTAAATTGGATTGAACAAATTTCAAGTCCGAAGGGGTTAAACATGTTGAGTTTAGGTGTCGTTGTATTGATTGCAAGAAGTACACAGGATAGTATAATAACTATCCATATTTATTATTTTTATCCAACAATAATTGGAATTTATTTCCTACGACATTCTTTCAAAATTAATGGTTACACGAACGTTTTTTACGCGCACCGTGCATCGATGTACAGATGAACACTTCTTGGTATGTGAAAATCATATCTTTTGCGTGTACTCCAATAATTTTCCACTGTTCTGAGAAATAAAAGGAATCGCGAGTTTACGTAAAATTCTTTAATTCGTCTCCATATTCGTTCAGAGTCCGAAATAATGTTCGCTAACCTGTTGCAAGGAGCCAGGAATGTCATTACATATGAACGGTAAGTTACAGGCCAAATTGACCTGTATTCAGTTGTCGACTGTCGCCAGTGGGCTGTCGGTTGTCGGAAAGGAACACAACAACCGTTATTTCTACTTCGAGTCTGAAAATTCCTGCAACTCGGACTCCTTGTAATTTCAGATCTTCCACTTAGAATCAATTGATTCGTTATTAAAAGTACTTTCGGTTCTCCACGCCCTATCGTATAAATGGGTTACCACTGATCGCGTTCTCGACTTTTACGGAATGGAAGGTAAATAGTGTGTGAAAAAAGCTACTAAAAGGTTTCCAACGTAGCAAAATTTCTCTTCGAGTTCTCGCTGGTTAATGGAAGGTGATAGGAGGGGTCGGCGAAGTACTGCGCCGCGCGTAGCCGACTAGAATTTTCCACAAAACATTTAACATTAATGTAACATTACGGTGTTTTAACGTAAGTCGCGAAAACGCGAATCATTTTAATTTGTCTTCGGGTCTATTTTCGCCGGTGAAGTAACAGTAAAAAGCCGATATCGAATTATATTATCCTCAAAAGATACGACATATAAATACAGTATATACATATAAAGATATCACACCCTCATACGACTCGATGAACAATTTCATGTCCACTTGACTGCAACAGCGAGTGAAAAAGCGACTAGACAAAGCCGGTAGCGGTCCAAGGAAGCTATGTAAGCGTATCGAGGGTAAATTCGCCAGCCTGCGCGAACGTCCAAGAAGACCGACTCTAGGAAAAGAAAATGCGTCTGGACATACCTGACTTTTGTCAAGCTTCAGACTTTCACAAAGGGGTAGGCGGTTCACCGTTCCGATGCCTCACGCCATGGAGCTTCTCGTCGAGATGATTCACTGGCGATCTACAGCGCGGGGACCGATCTTCCAACTTGACCTCTCGATCGAAAGCAATTTCTGAGGAACCTATCCACTCGGTTGTTACATTTTCGCGGGCGAACCGACTCGATTTACACTCGGTGGGTGGAACTAACGTAACGTGTTCTGTTCAAGATGCGGAAATATTTGTCCAGGAGAACGCAAGGAACGCGAGAAACCCCTTTACTCTCCTATTATTTCTTGTTCGTTTCTCGGATACGCGAAGAAAGACACACACGCTCCAGCACGAAAGCTCGTCGACGAGTAAAAGCCCGAGCTCGAAAGCGACGGAGCCAGGACGCGCCTTTCGAAAGCATTGCGCAAGCTCAAACTATTGCGTGTAGAATCCACTCTCCATGGTCGTGTTAAAGGTCGTCTCTCCTCGGCTACGCTCGGACACCAATGGTGTACGTTACTCGCAAACCGTTCCACGAGGGGTGGGGTAGTGTTTTGCTCTGTTATGGTCACAGATGAAGGGAGGAAAAAATGCATCGAACAGAGGTAAATTTCTTCGCTGCACTCTCTTATTGCATTTCGCAGCGATGCTTTCAACGACATATGAAAGATCGTATAGTTTCTATTGTCTTTCGAATTCCCATCGTGAAAGTACCATTGATGAATAATGTATAAATAGGATCAGGTTTAATAACAGCGCTCAATTTCCGCTGAACCTCGCCCTCTACGTTCCTACGCTCCCACGCAATGTATCGAAAAGGGTATTGGCATACTCAGTTTTTCTCTATGGTATATATCTTAAAAACCAACGTACCGATGCCATCCAAACATTCTTGACATTCTATTAAACATAGAAATAATATTCCAGTTTAGAAACTCGCAGGTCCGCGATAACACGTCCGTTGCAGGGAAGCATGGCCAAAAGCTATTTTTAAAGAAGTCTAACTTAGACGAATTAAATGCATTTTCGTATTACTTTCATGATTTCCGCAAGAGAGAATAAGTGTTGGAGCTTTGACGAATTAACGGAGAAATGCTGCAATTTATGTACAATAGGCTGAAATTGCATATCGCGGGAAACGCGAAATAAAATTTATAAATAAAATACTAAATCCTCTAAGTTAAATAAGAATGAATGTGCAAGAACTGAGGTCCGAGATACGTAGCATAAACAGTGTGACAATAATTATTCCGCAATACCCTCCATATATTAACCGCTCCGCCGTGCGACTTAAATCCTATTGAACAGATATGAGTACAATGGATATTTAATACTAGATCTACAGAAGGTGTCAATTTGACGGATATTCAATTTCACAAACATTATTTAGTAAGAGTTTAAGTTAATCTTGGTTGATACAATTATACATATTCTAATTCGCTGTTTTCGAAACTGTCATTTCCAAGATATACATACGTATATCAATGAATACTTATTTTTCTAAAAACAATAGAATGAAGTGTATAATGAAGGTTTGTAAATCTAGCGTTAACACCAGGAAAACATTTAAAAGAAGTTTTGAAAAACATTGAAAAAATAGTTCTGTACGAATACTTTGTTCCTTATTGTACATGCATTTGTAAAATTTATAAGTTGTATGCTATCTCCTATCTTGTTTATGTGAAATGTATACAGTAACCACATATTGAGCACCGACACATTTATCAAAACGCAACACGTCGATGATAACATTTTACCTACCGATAGTGTATTATTATCTAAAGAAACTTTAAAGCGACAAAAATTAAATTACTCCTCGCCGATATTTTTGTCCCAATTTTTTGTACATTCTAATTGCTTTTCCATATTTTGATTATAAATGAATGATTTTTCTGATCATCTATCATATAAGCTAATAAAATACAACATAGATTGTATTTCTTAGTTTTAGCTGTTACTAACAGATTGCTTGCAACTTATTACTGTTCATTGTATTATTATTAAGCATATCACCATTGTGCTAATACCTTCATAATTAAAGACTTACGCTTTTATTTGAATTATTTTTATACGAGAAATTATTAACCTTTCAAACTGGCACATTGTTTCTGTGTAAAATAACATACTAGAAAATCTAAGTTTCAATAATATGTTATTTTTTACTTTAATAAAAAATGTTTGAAGAATTTATAATAGTCACAGAAGTTTATTCTTCGCTATAATTTAGACGAACATACATAGTCTATATCAAACTGATATCAGTGTTATTATAAGAAAAGTATTAGTAGATTTTTTGCAAATATACGAATATATAGTATAATACTTATGTATAATTGGTTACCTGGTCTTATAATCATACCGATAGTAGTAACTACTGTTACTGTGTTTTATTTCCGGCGCTCTTTTAACTCCATTACGAGGAGAGTATATTTTCTCATTTTATTCTATCTTTTTGCTTATCAACGTAACGCCTGCTCTGTTATTAGTAATTGTTTTATCGTTATAAGATATGCGTTCGAATAACATGCATATACAACTAAGCATGAGATAACTTTGTATTAAAAAATGAAGAAAGAATATTAGAATAAAACGTTTTCTTCTGTTTCGATATAAATATTTTTTGTATAACTAAGCTGCCACTCTTAGAATAAGGTTCAATGCTAACAGTGTTTGCGTAACATGTCGTTTGTATAACAAAATTGTTGAAACTATTGCGGTATGGGAATTTGTGCTCGTATATGTAATTAGGAATGTTTGAACACTAAGTAATATAAGCAATCTGGCTCTTTATATTTTTTGATACCTTCCACATGTTATTAATTACCGCCCATTTTTAGTATCTTTTTACTGTAAACTATATCTTTGATACACCTCTATACATTAAAATCAAAGTGTATGATTGTTTTTGCATGATCAATTCAAAATCGATGCCCTTGGTTACGAAAGTTATTCGAGACCGAATAGTGTAAAATACTCTACCGTCCGTAATTATTATAACATTTGAATCGGTCATGGAAAATCAAAATTAAGATAGCAACTCATTCAATTTGTTACTATTATATTATTATATTATAATTTTATACAGTAAACATCAATAGCATTTATAAATAATCCACATATCAATAGTATTAACAGGAAACTATTAATTATTGTAACATAATATTTGAACGACATTTTATGGCGACATTCAATTGCAAATAGATTCGACATTATTCGAATAACTATGGACGGTTGTATACGTAATCTAATAACGTAAACAAGTTCTCACGTAAAGAATGTAAATAGAATTCTCCAATTCAACTGTTTGCTAATAAATGTGGTCCCATTGTGTGATCTTCAATTATTCAAGACCATACGTTTACACTAAATTTTGAAAATGTGTTTGTCGCATCGCATAAGGATTATAAAAATGCTGAGTAATGGATATTATGAACATTAAAGGTATATTGCCTTTGAAGATATTTACCTATTCAACCCATAAAATATAAGATGTGAACACCGAATAGTTAAAATTTCAACGGTCTAATCAATGTCAAAATAAAGAATATAGAGATACAGTTCATTATCATAGCAGTAATATGCAGCGAAGGGTAGTATCACGTTCACTATATTGAGAAAATAATGTTCAGGTGTTTCCTCTAGAGTTATTTATTGATATCTCCCAAAACTTTATTTTCAACAATATAGTATAATATTGTTCCGACTATATGTGAACATCATCATAATCTCGACTCCGTGGTTTAAAAAAAACATTTCTTAAATAAAATCGTTCCATTCGTATTGTTCTCCAATCAAAAACACGCTGATTGGGATGGTGGCTTCTCTAATAGTAAATGTTCCATGCTTGATTTTCTTGAAAATCCTAACCCTCGAACAGAACAATTTTATTCTGCACCTTGGACATGTCACAGCGGTCCATTTTGATAAAACTTATTTTGATAAATCTAGAACAGAAATAAGGTGACTCACATTCGGCTTTCATCAACACTCGATATTTATAAAGATATTCAACATTTAGGTTTTTCGATTTTTAAATGTGTTTATGTATGTTATCTCTTTCATTATATACTTTTTACACTTTCTTATAACGATAACATTATTCTACAATACCGTGATGAATCGTTCTGTTTGTAAAAAAAGGTAACACCAATGTAAAGCATTTGTATATTTCGTTCCTTGATTATATTTCCTTTTTACGTTCTACTGTATGTGCGCGTGTGATTTTTTTCTGTATTTTCTTGTTTTAGGTTCAGTAATGAATATTGATTACCCGTTTTAATAATTAGTTGGTAGAAAGATCACGTTTTATGGTTAAAATATTTTCTAAAAGTTTCTATTTATAAATTCAAAAATATACTGTGATTCTTCACCATTCCAATGATCGTAAGACTTTTGATATAAACGTTTGTGTTGCGTATTCAAATGACAGTATCTATTTTTATTATAAATTTATATTTATTAAATTAACTATTCACAATGTTATACAAAATACGAATGTGTACCGAGCAATTAATGGATATTCTAATCCTTGTATCCAATTCCTGACCGTGCGGGACACAATGGTTTGGATCGAAGAAGTTAGTGACATTTCGTTATAACTTTCGAACTTTAACACTAGAACTACCGAGCATTTAATACGATTAATATGCAATTCTCATAAAAATTGTAACAATAGACTATTTTCAGTTTCTTCAGACATTCATTATAGTATTCAAATGAAGCTATTTATTTTCAAAATCATTTCGAATATTCAATGCTTCGAAGATATCAATAATTGCTAAACGAAAAAATCGAAACAAGTCATTTTGACTGGTACGGTAGTTCTAGTGTTAAAGATATTGAAATGAAATTTTCACTAGAAAATATTAAAGAATATACATTTTCTAATGAAACATAACATATATTTTGTTTAACAAATTTTCTAAAATATTATTTATTGTTTTCTTTATTATTCTATAACATTCTTCTTCTTCTTCTTCTACGTTGAATACATTAATGTATTCATACCCGAAACGTCAAATTCTTCGTAAGCTCAATGCATTGGGCCCATTCTTCTCACTTAAAACAAATATGTTTGTTTTTATTTGTATTTGTATAAATGCAATAAAAACAAATATGTTTAATGATAACTAACTGAAAAAAGTAACTAACTTACTGAAAAAATTATATTTTTTAACATCCCCTTGCCAAAAAATTGAACTACCTAACTTCTCTCAATAACTTTTATACATTACCAAACACAATAATGCTTTGCTTTTAACGACAGATTTTCAACTGATGCCCAATTATTAAAGTGTTTATCTATGCCTTATGGTATTCGATATGATATGTTATGGTGTTCTATATTAGGTACAATTTAATTAAATACACTAAATAAATACATAGGAAATTCATATCTAGTACATAATACTATCTGA